AGTGTAGACACCGTGTACCCAGGCAGTGCCCTCAGCACAGGTCACAGCTGTGCTGGCTCTATCGGCTCTGGCTGAGCCGGTTTCCCATCGCAGCCCTCCTGGTGCAGGGCTTTTGTCTTGAGAGCATTGGACAACGGCACACCCAGGTCCTCTGCCTTCCCCAGCCATTGCCCTGTCTGCACTGTGGGGACCTTGCCTCCTCCCCCAGTGGGGAGGGGTTCTGTTTGGGCGGGACCCGGACGGTTAACAGATCCTCCAGCGTTAACAAGCCAAGTGGCTTCTGCTAAATTTACATCCCAGTGCTTCCATCCCCCATTGCCCAATGCTCTCAGCACAAAAGCACTGCACCAGGAGGGCTGCAATGGGGAAATTGGCTCAGCCAGACCTGATACACTGGCCCTGCAAATCTCAAAGTCTTTTCTAATCTTTGCCAGAGCAACCAAAAGGAGGTGAGAGGTGGCACTGGCATACCTCCCTGAGACATGGTGTAGTGGGGAAAGCGCAGTAGCTCTGGTCTTCTTCAGGCCAGATGTTGAGACCATATCTCCCACTTCCCATTCCAGCGGCTGGGCTTTGATGCCCCAAAGTAGTCATCATCCTGCAACTCGTCAAAGCACCAGTGAGCCCCAGCCCACCTCTTGGAGGGACCCTCTGGAGAAAACACCACATCCCGGATAGTTTGCTAACAAGCCAACGTGGGTTTTAGGACCTACCTCTCTGAAACCCTTTGTACTGGCAGCCCATGGCAATGCCCAACTGTGATGGTGGGACTGGGATTTGAGAGGCTCGTTTCCTGCAGGGGCTTTGTGGGGAGCCTGGCAGCTCAGACCAGGGTCTCTGTCTGCCACTGCATGGCCAGAGGACCGACAGCAACTTCTGCCCTTAAACATCTGCATTCTCTGCAGTATCTCTGGGCCAAGCAGGCAAACAGGTTGAAATGGCTCTGGTTCAAATTAGTCATGCAGGGAACACAAACAGAGGCATCAAAATGCCCTGCGAAAAACGAGTTCCCACATAAGATGAAAGGGAGACAGAATGGCTGTGAAAGTTTGTACAAGCACAACTAATCAAGTTTTCACATTACAAATACAACCCAGGCTCAAGTCATTATTTTTAGGGTGGCATCTGGTGTTCATGTTTCCTTTCAGCCGTGTGAACCCTCCGTCAGTGGAAGGGCATGCTCTGGTGGAAGCTGGAAGGACATCCATCCCAGAGGTCCAACCCAGGCTTACCAACAACGCCTCTCACAACTGCAGCGTCTCCTTCCAGCCCACCAGCAACATACCCCAGCCTTTCCGCTGGCATTTGCCCTCTGAACGGCAGTCCTCAAAAGGAGGATGTAGCTTGAAGGAGGTGGGCATCAGTGGTCAGTCTGTCAACAGTTTATCAGACTGAGTACAGGTTTTTTGGGTCGAGGAGAACGCAGAAAACCCAAGATTTGCATCAGTGTGATGAGGGACTTCTCGTCAGGAAAGTAACAGACCAGCCAGTCCAGGGCAGGGCTGCAGATCTGGGACTGAAAGAGGATAGGATGGAGAACTAATCACCACGTTGACAGGGAAATTGGTCTCCACACAGAAAACAAATCTTCCCTGGAATCAATCAGATGTGGTCATGCCTGAGTGGAGCTGATGTTTCTCATTTTTTTTATTTTTTTTTTTATTAGATTATTGCTGCTTTTCCTTCTCTGGACTTGCTCTGTGTCCTGTTTCACTTGCGTGACTTTTGCTGTTACACAAACATTTCTTCACTGGGAGCACAGAGCTCTAACTGATGAGACAGGCAAAAGCATGAAAACGAGGGCAAGAGAAACCCCATCGTGTTCACTTTAACTGCTATCATCAGAGCCACTGCTGAAAAGTGACTAGAACTGCAGGTTAGGACCAAACTGTGGTTCCTATAGGTATAAAGGAAAAGCCTTTACAAAGCAGATCTTGAACCTATTAACCGGTTTTCTATTGCCTTTCTGGGCACAGTTGAAATGTCTGCCATTGGAAATGTGTTTTATTTGGAGGTGGTAGAAGTATTTTTAAATTTTTAACACTAAGCAAAAAATCCCAAACCTGCTCCTGGTCCCCTTCATTATCCAAACTTAAAATAGTTACCTCTCTCTCTCCCCCAAAGTTAGCATATATATTTTATGCATGCTAAAATGCAAAAAAAAAAAAAAACAACCAAAAATCAATTTTTAGTATGCTACATTCTACTGAAAGGAGAAAAAGCAAGTATCACACCAAGAAAATGCTTCAGAGCAGCTAACCAAAGATGGCAGCAGGCTGGAGCCCCTCCTCAGTCATTTCTTCACTGTAGCATCACCCAGAGCTTTAGTTTTGGGTCTCACTTCACTTTTTGTGTTCTCCACTATTCCCAGTTCTGGCCAAGAAAGTAAACACAAGAATAACACAATGGAACTAGCAGACAGTGGTGGTGTTGCCAACAGCATGCGTTTGGAGGGAAATTGCTATTATCAATGCACCATTAGAGCTGGAGGAGTAAGGTTTTGAACACACAGTTCCCTCTCAGATTGAACACATCACTGGCACTTGCTACCATGATGCGCTTGATGTATCTGTTTGCACCACCTCCCCCCACCCCCTGGGTCTGTCCACTCCCTGCCAGAGCCCTGTGCAAGGCCCATCGCCACGGAGCCCAGTTCCTGGCCAGGACTGTGGCACTGCACGTTAATAAACATTAACGTAATTAAGTAAATGTAACATTAATGGCTTTTTTGTTAGCAGTTGCTGTTCACCCAGCTACAAACATAGCAAATGCAGAGAAAACTGAACAAGCAGACAGGACAGAAAAGTTGAATGAGCATTTGCTCTTCTTATTTTAATGAAGAAATATTTCAAGTTAATATCAGTGCATATTTAGAAATAGCATGTGATACTCCCAATGCCAAATACATCAGCAAATTACATTTTCAAAACTTTATAAATTAATGACAAGAAAAAAAAAATTAAGAGTAACATAGAGAATAAGTTCAAAATAAACATCCTGTTCGTTTGTTGCACTGCGTCAATTATATTCCTGGTACTTAACAGCGAGAGAGATCCAGTATTTCGTGGTAATTAGGCTCTCCAAAATAGCAGTTACATTTCTACAAATGAACTAAGCAGTTTGCATTTATTTTTGTTGTATAACTAAAAGTTACTATTAGCTTTCACAAAGAAATTTAGTCATGTCAGAGTAAAATTTCATTCCATGACTGAAAAATCTCACTGATGTTGAATGCTGCCTTCTGGTTATACCCACTGCAAACAGCCATCTGAGAATAGGAAGAACTACATGTGAGCACATTTGGCTGTTACATAAAATGGCTTTTTTTTTTTTTTTTCTGGTTTCACAGCCTCATAACAATACTGTTTTTCAACATTGTTCCCAGTCATTGTTTTTAAAATGGTTCATCAACATATCCTGAATCAATCACCGATATAAATAACTCCAGTGACAAAACCCATTATGGAAGGACACAGAACTGCAAACTGAACGTCGTACCGACTGATTTTAAGGTGGAACACTAATTACTCTATAAAATTCTGTAAAAAAACCCCACCACACAGTAAAAGCAGTATCTTTAATTAACTGGCAATGGTGGAATCTGAAAAACTGAGCTGTAATTTGAAGAGACATTTAACTCACAAAAGACTCTAATGCAAGACACTGAAGCTAGAGAGAGGTGCACATGTAAAGCTTGCACATGTGATAGAAAAATATTCTCTATTTCTTTCATTTTAATACAGGGAGTCACATTCCCTAACAGAAGAAGAAAAAATGCATCCTCTTTCCTATCCCACTGCTGTACGTATAGACTATTCCCTTGATATCAGGAAATGGCACTTCCCCAGGGAAAATACCAGCCAAGGGAGCCGCAGACCTTCTGGTAGTAAGGGTTTGTTGATTTTGCCTTTTAAAGCGTATTTTGAAGCGGGTGCAACACTGTCAGGAAATGCGTGCCTTGCACGGCTCGTCTGTTGTGCCTATGGAGTACAACAGCCTGTCGCTTCACTCCGCTGCAGTCTGCACTGCCCAGAGGGCTCTGGGAGCCCGGGGTGACAGCACAGCAGGGAGCTGCCTCCAGGCCAGAGCAGAGCACTGGGGAAAGGCTCCGGGCTCAGCGGGAACACCGGAAGGTTCCTCGCTACCGTACCCCTGCGCTCCCCAACTTACAGCAGTTCTGTGCATTACCCAAACAACAGAGTTTGCTTCCAGAAAATTGTGAGGTAACAGGAAACTTCTGTTTATGGCACGTACACTTGAAAGGTCTGTGAGCTCAGCTGAAAGTCTCGAGGTGCTAGGGACAACACAGACACAAGGTAGGCTACAGTCTGGTTAGGCCAGAAACAAGAACTTAACCTTTCATTATACTGCATACATTCCTTTTATGCACAAAATGAGCTGTTTTGCTGAGTAGAATTTAATGTTTTGCATATGTAAAATATTCAGCAAATACTGCAGCAGGATCAAACATCATGCACTAGATAAACAGAGCTTCTTCCCCATGAACAGTATTTCTCAAGAACATTGCATTCTGCTTCAGGTGACATCTCATGATTTTTCCAACTTAGTCCCTTTTAAAGAACACAGTATTTAGCTACAACTGAAAAGCAAAATTAAAACAAACAAAGAAAAAAAAAAGAAAAGGAAAAAGTTTTGATTTCAGCTGTGATACAGCTGGGACAGATGCAACTGAGCTGCTGCAATGCACCAAAGAGTAACGCAAATTCAACATGAGTATCAGAAGAATAAATATATACCCTAAATTAATCTCTGTAAATACATTCACAGGTCCACTTAAGACACCCTTATGCATAACTTGTACTTCATCTGATCCACAGATAGAGATGGATGCTAGTTCATGGGGAAAGCAATTTATCCTATTACTCAGTTTATCTGTCATTATTCCAGCAAAAATCAGTAGCAAATTTGAAAATCTATATTTATTTTCCCTGAACCAACCATATAGAGGCTTAATTCACAAATTCTATTATTTTCAATGGTCGATCGATAAGGCTTTATTTACACTGTATTTTCTATAAAGTCAGGAAAAAGTTTGGTGCAATGTGCAAGAAAAGACTGCACATTTCACTGATTGGAGACTAACATCTGCTCATGGTTTAATGCTAACCCACAGGCAGCCAATTAAAGTCCCATATATCCATGTTTTTACATAAAGTTTCCTTCCAGATTCTGTCAGAAGCATACTAGCAGTCAGGCCACCTAAAAACAGCAAAGATGGCAAAGTTTTCTTGAGGCTTAGTTTGGAATGCACACTTTTTCCAGGGAACTTATTTCTTCTTTTAGAATCCTTTGCATCATAAAACTCTATTAGTAACCTACAAGCAGACAAAAGGAGATGGTCAAAGTTACACGTTAGTGTATGAAGTTTTAAGCAACTTGTTTTCATCTAATAGCTGCTTTTAATCACACATTATTTAAGGATCTAATAATAACATAGAAATAACGATGTAATAACAATACGATATAAGAATTTAATGCATTCAAAGCAACATTGCACATCAGAGTACACAAACAGAACCCCTGTAAGCAATAAAAGCAGATTTTCTTCAGGGATGAATTTTAACACTGGATAAAAGTTGAAATGAATCCTTTTTTTTCAGTGTTTAGCAGAAAACCCCAGAGCACTTCACAATATTGTAGGACAAAATACCACACAGTTAATCATTGAACACAAAAGGATGGGGAAAAAGTATCTTCATAAAATAATAACAAGATAATAATAAATAACAAGAGCTCACAAGACACTATGTGCTGCCCAGGGAAGTGGTGGAGTCATCATCTCCCTGGAGGTACTTTTAGAGATGTGTAGATGTGGTACTTAGGATCATGGTTTACTGGTGGACTTGGCAGTGCTGGGTTAAGGGTTGGACTCTGTGGTCTTAAAGGCCTTTTCCAACCTAAATGATCCTACAAAGTATTTTGGAAGCCAAATGTGCAGGAGTAAAATGCTACACCACGGGTTTAGTAGTAACTTTTTTCCTCCCATTTCTGAAAATCAGTAATAAATGCATTTGGAAATTCATTCGAATTGAAATGCATTTGAAAATTAAATGGGATTTAAAGTATCTCTAAAGTTGCCTGACAGACTGCTTTGGTCCCAGGAAAGATGTTCGAGTCAACAGGAGTCTACAATGAGACACAGATGATGAGAGTTCACTTTTGCTGGTCTTCACCAGAAGACTACTTAAGGGACGCTGGACAGTCTTTTATTTCACATATCAGTTCCTTGTCTATAGACTGAAATTCAGACTTTCTTCCTCTCAAAAGCAAAGAGAAGAAAAATTACTTTGTGATTCTAAGCTTCTAAGATACTTTAGTAACAGTGCCATGTTTATGGATAGTCACGCTAACCTTTACATGGATTCAAAGGTCACAGGACAAATTTACCTCTTTCTTACTTCTGTGGAGCGTGAGACTGGCAGAACAATTTTAGAGCAGAATATACCTAAAGAAACAGGGAAATTTCTCTCTCACACAAAGTATTCAAGGATTTACAAAGTAAACTGATTCAGCTCCTTTATTCTGGATGTCGCAAATTAAAAAGTCATCTCTCAAACAATACTTAAATCCCACAATGAGGCACCAAGTCCTTCTGGAGCACAAGGTCCCACAGGATGTTGTGTACGCTCACTAGTGACCTTATCTGGAGATGCTGGAGGGAGCCAGGCCCTTTAGTTCTGCCACTATTCAAAGATGGACAGATGAAACTCATACTTCACCTGATTTCCCCAGTGAAGGTAGGGATCTAGGGGTTACTTGTGTTTTTATCAAATTGCTGTCTGACAGAAAGATGCAGAAACAATATTGGCAGAAGAGATTAGACCAAGACCTGCCCCTTTCTAAAAAACTGCTTTTTGCTTGCTTGCCTACCGTGGGCATCTTGCATTCCTGGCTGCACATGACTCAGCTACAAGAAGATAAATGTAGAGTATTCAGATGAATATTAATCTTGCCTGGGACATGGACTCACAGCTCTTCAGTCTAACGGAGGTCTAACACTCAGGAATCCCAACCTCCCGAGCAAAAGGTTTAACCAGAAGGCTATTTTGTTATACAAAATATAGAACCACAGAATCATTCTAGTCAGAACAGACCTTTACGATCATCAAATCCAAACGTTAACCCAGCACCATGTCCTACCAAAGTATCACCACGATCTCACTTCAGAGAGCCCTACAGCTTGCACTTCCAGTAACAGAGAAATCATGGGTATAGCTGTTAATGTAACAGAAGAAAGATAGCTTCTTGAAACAAAGTTCTGCATATTGCTACTCACTTATCCTTTATTTCAAAGCGTTCATGAAGCCACCTTCTCATATACATCTGCTCTTCTGGTATGTCCTTCAGTTCAATTCGATCAATGAAAATATGAACTCTTGGGCATTCCTTGCAAAGAAACTCTAAAAAGAGAGCAAAACGACAGGACAGAGTTACAAAAACATTGTGAAGCATTTATTTGTCTAAAGTACACTGAAAATATTATCTTGCAGCTGTAAGTGCCTTGGAAGCGTAATTTCAGTTCTCAAAAGCCTCCCCTCTCTTCATGTTCAGATCCTGAGCGCTGCACTGAACTTGGAAGCCATTTGGCCCACACAGTTTTGCAACGATGGCCCATTATCATGTGTAACAGGGAAATACTATCCTAAAATGCACCCTGCTAACTGTAAAATGCCGTGCTTGAAAATGTTAAGTTTCTACCTCAGCAGCAATCACTCCTCAGCTGTAATCAGTACTCATTCTGTAGCAATTACTACTCATTCTGCCATGTGGGATGCAAAAACTTCAGTGTCATCAAGCTTGATTAAAGTTAGTAATACACTTTCCTTGTTATTTTTTTTAAAATCTAAATTTTGTTTGCTCCTGGATGACAATGTAATTACAATGATTTCCCAAAGTATCTTCAGGAGGAAGTGGGCTTCAGTTTAAGTAATAACTTATAATTAAAAAGTGTAATAGGGCAAAAGACTCAGAACAAAATGCTTTCCATTTTGCATCCATTAATTTTTCTTCTGTCTTACTGCAATCCTCCTCCCCCATTTCCTTAACTTATCCCTAGGAAGATTCAGCAAGCAAGCGTTAATTACAAACAAAACTCCATTACTGAAATAGCCTTGTGGGATTTCTTACAACACACAAGTGGTAAAAATAATTGCACGTGGGATGAAAAACCCACCAGCATTTGTAATCATTTGCATTCATCAGTAGAGCAAGGGGCACTGCAGTAACCATAGCATCTCTGTACAAAGAAAGACATGATGGGAGGGTGTTGAGTCCTCTGAAATATGGACAATCTTCATATTCTGAAAAGGGACTAGAAGTGCCTTCCCACAATACAGATGGGCAACAAATGTCACACAGATTGGGTGGCCCCTTTAGGTTGTTGACATTTTTTGGACAGCAGTGCAGACATACAGAAGACTTTGACCCATAACTGTTAGGGGTATCTTGAGGAATGACTGTGCAAAGTAATTGGTACTGCATGTACATCTTTATTATTGCCTGCCAAAGCAGATATCTCCCCATTTGCTTTTACTCCTTACGAGAGTATTGATTGTTAAGGACTTTGTTGTAAAAGCAGTCCTTATCATATAGTAGAAATTGCCTTAAAGAATTTTAAAAGCCTGTCACGCAAATGTATCTGTGTGTTTGTGGAGGGGAAGGAGAAAAGATAAAGAGATCAGTAGAGTCTTAGAGCTTTTGATGTGGAAATCTGGAAGGTGCTGTGTGGAGTTTTGTCTAGTCCTCAGGCACCAACAGCCATTCACTAAAGCCCCCACAGCACAAAGGCAGCAGCATGGCCCACGCACCACCCGCTGAAGAAGTGGCTGAGGGCTTTAACCAGAAACGAGTCCACCTCTTAGCCACGGAGCAGCAAACAACTGTTGGTAACATGTTTCTAGTAAGCCATCTCCTAGCTACAGCTGTTAGATGGCAGGCAAGTTAAGTACTTGGAGTCCAGAATGATGGTGCACCTAGATGCTGTCTTCAGTGTTATGTGCAATGTTTTTACCAACCACAAAGAAATCAGTGTATGTGGATCTGTAAGCAGGTTTTTCCTCTCCTGTTAAATGGGAAGAAAGGATTTTCCCAGTCTGCTTCTCTGAGGATACTACCCAGGCCACTATATGAAGGCCATTCATTATGTGAGCACCTAAAAGCATACTATTAATATTTTAAAATGACAAAATGTATTATCTGTATCTTAAATACTTATAACGTTCACTGATGTACAAATCCTCTTTTTGAGTGGCATTATCTATTAAGTGGAATATTCTAAAAATATGCAAAATTCTATCTAAAAAACAAATCCCTGGAAGCCAGATGATAGTCTTTACTAGACTCCTCTAAAAAGCATCTGTGCTACCCAGGTTCAGCTAGGGCAGAAGACCTAGCTGTAGAAGGTATTTGAAACATTCTGTGCATTGTATAATGTAGGTTTCTTGCTTCATTGCACATAGGTTGTTTTGTATACGAACAAACTCTCTTCTGATGTTATTTATAATCTCAGTTACAAGTAATCAAGGAAAATTATAAACCAAACAAAATTCTAAGCTAGATGAGACAATATTATTAATAACTATACGGTATTTTAAAACGAATGTTATGCTGATTAAAAAATATTGGTATTTGGTCATTTAAAGACAGCAACAGAGTACATTATCAATAATAAGGCCTAGTTAACAAACCAGGAATAAGAGGTACATATTTCAAAATGAACACCCTGGCCCCCACTCCAAAGCTGAAATGTAGCAACTCTACAAATTTGCTTAAAAGGCAAAAAGGTCCCCACAAAGTCTAAATTGAATCCCCACATGTAAATGTACATCTTTGCAAATCCCAATGCTCTTCTCCACAGCCTTACTCTGCCTTGCAGTGTGGGACTCTGTACAGCCTCACCAAAGGCTGCATTGTTCATCTGCAGATCCAACTGCAGGTGCTCCCCTAGAGAGGATCATGAGTCCCACCCATGGATTCAAGGCCATTCCATCCAAAGTCTCCAGGCTGTGGATGTCCTGGGTATCCAGGACATCTGCAGATGACATTGTAATGTATGCAGTCAAACTAGTTGGGAAATCTGACTAGTCTTTAATTATCCAGTTCATGTTCACGGTTTAATGCAACTAATATTTTCTTTTTCTTGTTAGATGCACAATGTCGTTGCCATCATATAAGAACACCAGTGGATAAGAGCAATGCATCCAGAGGTTGTTTTTGAGAAGAAACAGCTGGATTTTATCATCACAACCTTTAAAGGTTTGTGGTGGTCCGATGACCCTTAATTTCAGCTTAGCTTAACTCCCAAAAGACTTATGTAATTATGCTAAGAAACAAAATCTTCTTGAAGCAATTTATTATGTGCAAATTACACCCAACTTCAGGGACACTAGCCCTTAAGGCCAACATCTGACAGGCTTTTCAGACCCCTAAACCTGCCAGGATTTATAATTAACAGCAGGAATTTCATTCAAAAGACAAATCATGAGTGCAAATCATGCATTATAAACAAACATTATGTTGGGGACAGCATTAGTCAATCAATGAACTATGCTCATTTGGGTTAAATGAACACTAACAACTTGTGTGGGAGACAAGTGGATGGACTTTTGTGTGGGAGATAATTTCCCAAAAAAACTTTCTATCTGGTTAACTAACAGATACAAGTGCAGAATGTTTATAATGCTTCTAGCGACCAAACACAGCAGAAGGAAGGAAATGAAATTAATAAAGTGGATTGAGCATATTTTGTTCTTAATTGTGACATTGTGGCCCTCCATCTGCAGGACAACATTCAACACTAACACAAGACTGGAGGATTCAGTGCAGAATTAGGATTATTGAACAGGGTGCAACAGCCTCCAGGAAAGGAACTGGACCCAGGTTTTTATTGTAAACAAATGTTTTGGAAGGATGGCTGTACACTGGGGCTTCCACAAAATTTCACCAGTTTTCAGCTCCACCTTTAAAAGCCAGTTAGTGCTGGTTTGAACTATCAACGTTACCAGGGAAAGCGGGGGAAGGAGAGAAGATCCAAAGTACAGGTATGTACCAGTATCTGAGAAGGGACACGGAAACAGCCTCATACCATCTTCCCCTTAATGCTACCACAGAAGTTGATTCCACCACTCCAAATTATTTGCCTTCCCCCTTAATAATGTTGTGCCTGTAGCATTACACTTAAACAGATATTCCAGTTTTCAATTACTAAGGAAATCTATTTTTATATGCACTTTAAATACAGCAGCAGTAAAGTAGCTCAGATTTCACCCTCCTACATCATCTCTTTTACCGCAATGTAATTACTGCCAAAGTCCTTCAAAAATTAAGAAAGGACAAAGTGAAGCCTCACACAGTTGTGTTTACTTAAAGAGTGCCCAGTTCTCTCCTGTTTTAACAGATTCCAGCAATGTTTGTGATAAATTGAAGTGATATCACAGGAAACCGAAATCTGAATAACGTGCATTTATCCTAAGTAACTAGTATTTTAAACATGTAAGATTATGTCTGTTCAGTAACAGAACACTCTGTGTTGCGGTGCATATAGTTTTACAGGCAAAACCAAGATACTCCTCTCTGAACCATGGATGGTTTTCTCCAGTTTTTAAATTTTCCTTTGTCTGGACTTAAGTGTCAGCTACCAAAGCAGTTTGTAAACTATCTCCTTCTTAAAGAAAGAAATCCCATCTCTCCACTTTCCTTTACTTCATACACCAAATTAACAATCAGCTGGCAAAACAAACATAAATTTAAGCGCTGAGTTGTTTCTCAGCTTCACGCCTCCCACCACCTCGAGTTGAGCTGACAGGGAGCCATGCCGCGGCCTGCACTAACACGGTAAGGCAGCGGTACAGCACAGCGGCACTGGGCGGGAAGGCAGACAGACGCCCAGGGTACCTCGGAGGCTATTTACAGGGGTTAACCTGGGGAGCAGTGGAGGGGCAGGCACCACCAGTCCCTGCTGGAGGGGATGCTGTGCAGGCTAGACAAGCTTGCAGCCAGCAGACAAGCCTGGGACCCGAGGAACAGCACTCAGAAATACTGCCAATCCCCTGTGCAAGGCCTGAGATGCAACTTGTTCAGATGGATGTAACACAGGAGGTGGATGTGGCTAAAATTCAGCATGAGGGCAAAACTCAGAAGTGCCTCTATACCAGCATAGAAGCCTGAACACGAAGACAAGAGACCAAGAATTAATGGCACCAAGCGGTGACCCCTGTAGGGGATGTATCCCCATGGCCTTGAAGGAGCATGCAGCATTACCAGGCTACCAGGTCTACAGGAATGACAGAGAGCAGGGACAGGTGAGGAAGTGGTAGTGTGCGTGAAGGATTATATAAAGTATAATAGCTTTATATAATACAGACACAGAAGCACAATGAAATCCTTGCGGACCCTTTCGCCA